TGTGCATTTTTTTCCAGAGTTCCAATGAATAGTTATATACATGAGAATTATGGAAATACATATACAAAATTATTTACAATGTGTTGTAATTCCAAACCAGGTCTTTTTTTTTTTTCTCTCCTGATAGTTTTTACTCTCTTAAATGCATTTCTGTGGTGATTGTGTAAAATTTTTCTAAGGGCACTTTTTAATTTGGGAAAATGCCCATTTCGGTATTTTCTCAGCTGTGCATGTGACTTTCTTGGCGAATAATGTGGTGAACATTCAGAATAGGCATATTTCTAAAAATCCTGCAGTCCATAAGCAAACATAAGTAACATATACAGTGTCTATACCTTCATGGTGGCACTAAGGATAAGAATCTGTCCCTAAATACTAAACCACTTCTATAGATATTTACTATGTTCATTGTTTCATAAGGTTTTGGAGCACACATTTGTAACATAAACCCCATGATTTATCATGTGGTTTCAAGAAAAGAAAATTCCCGCAGAAATCAATTATTGTGCTCTTTACTTAAAGAATGAATGAATCTGTAACTTCTTAGTCACTAATGTAAAATAACATTTTATAAGGTTTCCCTTAATGGGTGATAAATTTTCAAAATTTACCAATAAGATGCAAACATTAGCAGAAAAGTACTTACGGCCAAATTTTGTCTCACTCTGTAGAGAAAGAAGTCTATTTGTGGACAAGTATGTTATTTTTTTAAACATCAGAACTGAATATTTAAACTTAAATATATAACCTTAATAGATATAAACATAATAGGTAAAAAAATTTAAAATAATAACATCGGTACACAAAAATATGAAACCATTTATGGAAAGGTCAGGGATGTGGCGATACGCTTTATTCCAGTTTATTCCTCTGACCAGAACTAATGTCATTTTAATTTTTATGTAATGCCCTGGATCACATTCTTATACCTCATCTCAAATATATCTTTCACTTCTGCTTTGCAAAACCCTAAATTTTCTCTTTTTTTGTGAATCCTGTTAGGGGAAGGAGTCGGGGTTGCGAGAGTTGGAAGAGGTGGTCATAGAAAGCATTCAAGAGAAAATAAGATTAAAAAAAGAGCATAACAAAGTCCTCACAGCACATTTAGTAGGGCACTGATCCCAGAAGGCTTACTGGACCTATGATGCAAGATGGCCAGTACAAATCGCTTGAGTCTCTTGCCATTTATTGATTAAAAAGGCTATTTCAAAACTTGCCTTTCTTTAAAATCTCTCGAGTCTGTCTACAGAAAAGCAGTGCAGAAAAGGGAATTATGTTTATTTCCTATTACAACTACTATTTAACAGGCTTTTCATTACAACACTTTGGGTGAGTCTTCTCTGTTTGTTGATACTAACCAAGTCGACTGCCCAGGTGATTGGTTTCCACTGAATGGGAGTCAGGTGCCAGAAAAAAGACAGTGGCTAACAGATCTGCATGCATGACTCGGACAGAAGTAATAAATGGCCGAGAGACTTCTAATACATTTGCAGTTTGTACAGATGACTGTGATAACCTCATATTATGACATACGGAGGCCCTGACTTACAGCCAGGGGCCTTAAATTACATTCCTACACTGTAGCTTTCAGCCCTAAATGATGTCAAAAGACTACGGTCTTAAAATGAAAATACATAGAAATATATAAAATCAAATGAGCTTAATAAGTCCTTATTAATCTGAGGTAATAATGTGCATCCTCACTGAAGCCCTATGCCAGCTCCTGCCAGCTATCGGCTACATCATCTTTTTTAAATGAATGTAGACATCAGGTTGCGTACAGAATTCTTCCTTTCAATCCACACACATTACATAACGATATTAAATTACAGCACGTAATTGGTTAAACATGGCTCTTCAGAATTTCTTGAATCTTGTAGCCGATCTTAAATACTGCATGTACTCTATTAAATACAAGCTCACCCAAGAGACGTACACTGGCTGAAGCCAGGAAATTCTAAATGAAGGCTCAAGCTGACATTTTGTCCCTAACTTATATAACTGTGTTTCCTCATAGCTACTAAGAGTGCACGTCCTAATGGTGTTTCTTTCTCTATTTGTACAAATAATATTATTGCAGCAGTCAGAGCCTTCATTTAATAAAGCAGGATACATAAACTACTTGGCCTGTGGTGGAAAGAGAGAGAGAGTCTCTCCTTCTTGTTCTTTTTTGGACTACTTTTTGATCCAATTAAAAGGAACTCAAGAAAAGATAAGTTTTAATTAAATTGCCAAACTACTCCCAATTTGTGATTTAATAAATTCAGCCAGCTTGCCATGGTGTTATTTTAACCACATCTCTTGACCTGCTATCGTCAAAATAACTGTAAAAACAATGAAGCTGTAGTAAACAAAACCACAAAAATGCAACAGTCACAAGGAAAGGGAAAGAAAACCTGCAAATAATATATAGCCTTGGATACCAGAAAAAAAAAGCATTTTATCACCCATCATGTTGAAAATTAAACTGTTAAAAATCACTGCCTTTTTACAGTTATTTTCTGTGTATGTTTCCTAAGAGTACACACTTCTGTGTCTGGCTCAGCAAGGTGCTAGTAGCAACAGAACATCAGAGAGGCAGACTCTTGACAGATATGGTATCAAAAATAGTAGTCCTCAGAAGCAGGATTCATGAACAATGAGTCCTGAAAAGTGATTAGCCCCTATTTAATAACAGGAACTAAGAAAGGTAAATAAACCAAACTAGGTTTCATCACATTTAACTCTGCCACCAGACGCCTGCCCAACTTTGGGCAAATTGCAATCTTGGGGCTTGATTTTGTCTAGCTGTTAAAATGATATAGTGTCAGCTATCCCATGTGGCTAGATTGGTAGAAGAGCTCTCCGTTAGTCTGCAGATATAAGCCAACAAGGATAAAACAAAACTTCAAGTTATGGTTCAAAAGCCTATATCCATAACTGTTTTCAGTAACAAAACTATGCTAAAACTTTGATGCAAAGTCACATTTTACAGCAGGTGATTGATCCTGGGTGCTTGCATAAAGACAGCTTTTGAGTAATTGGAGTATTCAGAACAAAACAAAACATCATCTGCTTTGCTGGTCCTGAGCAGACCCACTAACCCACAAAGTGGAGTCAAAGCACAAGGCATTCATTGCTGCTATGTCTGGCCTGAACATGAGCTAGATAAAATCTGGAAGAAGCATGTCTGTATTTCTGTGGGGCTGTGCTCATAAGTAAATTCCTGTAAGGTCATGGCAGGAAGCTCGCTATGCTTAGACTTCATAGCTTCAACTTCTGCCCGTGGGGGATCTCTGCACCATATTCACTTACTGACAACGTACCCATGCGACAACTGTTTAAAACCACTTTACTACGTAGAGTTAGCATCTTCCAGCCAAATTCAAGGTCTGAGCTGCTTTTGGAGCATGGGAGATGATCAATTTCATTATTTTTCTTCTGTAACACAAAGTTACATAGTTTGGTCCTTTGAAGGGTCATTCAGTAATCTAAACAAAAATTGTTCTAGCACTTTCAATCCATTTGCATGTTTCACTTTCTTTAGCCTGTGCTTTAAGTCTCATTAGTTTCAGTTAAAAGTTAATAGTTTCCACTAGAAAAGTGGAAAAATACTATCTTTCTCAACAGGAGAAAATTATTCATGGTAATGAGATTCTAACAGCTCACATTGCCACCATCACACATATTGGCTGCTCCCTCACTGCAAGTATCCCAGAAAAATCACAGTGCCACTAAGAGAATAATACACCTCTCAGAATGCCTTGGGCTAGGAACACCTTGCTGGTGCGTTTCAGGTAATTTAAATAAATCGCTTTCATTTGTTTTGTAAAATGTCGTCTCAATCTTGGATGATCCCTTTTCAGATTCGGTCTTCAACTTTTTGTGAAAGACAGCAGCAAACAATTCTGCAAACCTAAACAGGCTTTTTTGGCAGTGTTTGAAAGATAATCTTCTCTCTCCTCTATACTAGCAAAACAAGTCACATTATGTTTGACTAAATCTCTGTTGTTAAAGTGTTTTTTGGAAGTTTAAGATGCTTTTTTTTCAACCTTTCATTCTAATTTTTCATTTTGAAATTTAGCTATATTTAAGAGGGAGAGAAAACAGCCAAGACTAAATCTGAATCATCAAGAGTTTTTACTGTTTTGATAATCACCGCCACCCAAAAAAGCTTCACATTCAGCCATAAAATAAAAAATATCAAGTATTCAGAAGTAGTTGTGTTACTTCTCTATCCTACTCCCATTCTCAGCAATTTTGTATGACAAAGGCATTTGAAAAAACTGAGAAACAAATCAAAACCACTTAACTGCTGGAATCAATAAAATACTCTGAAGTCCTTAAAGAAATTAATTACCCATTGCTTGGATATTTTAAACTAAAATGATCATGACAACAATTAATGTGCAAGAAAGTTCAAACTTACATTTGAAAGATTTTGGAAAACAGACACGGAGTTCTTGATTGCATTTAACTTTTATGATGCCCTAATGTTCCACATAGCAGAGCTTCAGTGAGTGCTCACAAGCATTTACTAAAATATGTGCATTTCTTGCTCACTCTTTCACTCAGCTCCCTGTATCACACTACTCAGTTCAATTAATCTCTGAAATTTTTTTGATTTTTTTTTTACCTGAACCACCTTATTGAACAAAGGCATGATAATGTAAGCATACCGCTCTTTCTGGTATTTATTCCCTTTCATTCATTTCGACAAGGTTCAACAAAATAATCCTTTATATTTGTTCTGAATCAGGAAAAATGGTCGAACAGACTTTAGTTGGCTTTAGCTGAAGGCATCTTTAGCTGCTAGATGCCTTTTTTCCCTGCTAAAGGAAAGAGTTTCTCAAATGGATCAAGGCAGAAGGTTTACCCAATATCAAAAGCCTAAATTCAAAAATATCGATTTGTGTTGTCCACCGAGAGACTGAGTTCAAAAAGGCAGAGCTGCTGAGGACTTCTGCAAAACCCACTTTGAGTATCCTCTGAAATTACTGTAGAGAGACCAGAATTATTTAAAAAGGATTATTTATTAAACATATTTCTTTACAAAGTACAATCAATGGTTTGCATTAAATTTTGGGTTTTGGTATTTGCCTGTATGTACACAAAAGCTTATAACAGAAAATGTGTCTTGATTTTACACATGGGACACACCACTGAGTTACCTTCATATTTTGATTTCTACCAACATAAGCAGTTGATAATAACTTCAAGCTTATCTGCTGGTTTTTTTTTCAAACTGAAGATGAAGCAATAACATTTCTGCAGAGTGTCAGTATTTACCACTGTACTCAATTATGACAAAGTAGAAATGAATAATCCTTTGGGAAGTTTCCACCAAGCATGAGTGGAACATGGCATTTTTTGGTAGGTTACTGGACTATCCTTATGATCCTAAAAATCATTTTTTTGCAGTTATAAGATAAGAAGAATTGAGGAGCTAGGTAAGTTTAATAATACCCTATTAGCAGCAGTTGATAGTAAATGCAACATAAGGTTTGTTTTGTCTGTCATACAAGGACGTGTCCTAGCAGACACTATTGTATTGTTCTCTACTTGAACAAAAGTATCTGCATGTATTGTATGTCTTTGGAAAAACAAAACAAAAATAAAGAGACAAAAAGCCATTTATTGTCATGAGTGACTATTGCCATCAGCTAATATGAATGCATTGCTAAAATTAGTGAAGACAGGAAAATGCTGTAAGGTAAATATATACAGAGTTAAAATACATTTCTTATCCACTAGATAGTGATTTTGTGGCACTGTGGTTTTCAGAATATAATGTCTGTTGAGAGCAATGTAATTTTCAGTGCAAGCTAAAGCAAAAATACCTGCCCGCTGTCATAAACATGACAAACAAATCTGGAATGTTCAAAGTAAGTTCGTCTTCCACTTCTCCACTCTTGAGGCACTTTTAAGACATGGCACTTACTGTAAACCATCTAAAAATCAAGAAAAGCAGACACAATAAGCCTGAATTTTCCATAACAACTTTAAAAAAAAATCACTGCCGGAGTCACTTGCATACGTAAACGATGCCTGTGTAAGGCTTGCCAGCAAAGCATCTTTCCTGAGAACGGAGCTGGGACACTCTCTGTGTATCATAAGTGTGCGTGCTCAGAGCTGTGGTCGCTGTCGTGGCTGTCGTCGTTCGCTAGTGAGTCCCCCGTGTGCTGGAGACCAGCTGCGCCGATGCCAGAGAGCTCGGAGGGGAGCAGCGTCCCCTTTTTCACATTCACCAGTTCCTTCTCCCGGGCCGCTGCCCCTTGCTGGCCCCCTTTTACCCGCTTCCACTTCATCCGTCTGTTCTGGAACCAAACTTTTACCTTTGGGGAAGAATGACAAAGCGAGAAAATAAAGATGGGGTCAATGAAGGAAATAAGCTTTAGAGCTGTAGCACAGCATTTGGCTTTTTTTTTTTTTCCTTTATGCACAGCATGTTGCCTTTCTGTCTGTATGGTAAAAAGCAGAGCAAGCCTTCCCCAAGGAGCAAGCCATCCAGTTTTGGATAGGACGTGACCCTGGGGATGCATCGATAATGACTAGAAAGAAGGGAAAGGGGGTTACCACAAAAAGGCAGCTGGGCTCTCTGCAGCCGACTGCTTCACAGGAAGATCTCACAGCCCGCTAGAAAACATTAACTTCACATATTCTTGAGAAAACGCCACTTCACAGGCAGCAAAACAGAGGCAAAACGGGTCCCATCAAGCAACTGCGCAGAAGAAATTACCTTTCGTGTAATAGAAAGCCCTGTCTGGTGGCAGGGACCCATTCTGAGGGTAGTTCTTTCGGAAAAGAACTGGCACTGAAAAGTTTGCATCGCTTTCTGCCTCTTTGCATCTGTAAACTTGTGGTTAAGTGTCAGGTGGAGCACTTTTACTTGTTGAAGTAAAAGAAAGAACATTTCTGGACCCCAAAACTTTTGACTTCCCTGTCTATTTCACAAATGTATTTAAATTATTCTAGTTGAGTGATTCTCGATTTTGCTACATTTAGCCATAGACTCTGGTCAAACGTTTCAGACAAATAAATACCCCTAAAGCCAGAGAGCAAAGCATTTATAAATTTGAGTCAAAATCACAGAATGGAAAAGAAATTCATACCATGAAAGAATAAAAAGGTATCTGTATTTAAGTCACATTAAACCCCAAGATTTTACTCCAGCTGAAACTCATTTCCCTGCCTCCCCTTCTCTGTATGGAAATATATGGGGGGGAAGTAAACCTAAATTATTTGCACAGTTCTGAAGTACTAGCACTGTAAACCACAAGGATTTTTTTTTCAACAGGCAAAAGAAAAGAAAAAGAAAAAAAAAAGATGTGCATAGCATCTGTCAAATATATTAGAACAGATTAAAAGCTGATTTCAAATCAACTTAAAATATTGTCTCTGAAAACAGTATAAATAGAAGATGGTTGGGTTTGATCCAATTAATGTTGCTTTAAAATCTCGTGCGTGTGTGTCTGTGCAGCTCTTCACATGAAGGTTCCACAGAAAAATAAACAACTTTTCACTTGTAAAGAAAGCAAGAAAGCTCGCAGTGTTGGTGTATCCTCTCTGCTGCGTTCAGCAGAATGTGTTTCAGAGTTTTAAAAGAAACAGCAAGGAACAGGCACAGCAGGACATATTGTACAACATGAGTAATAGAGCCACAAAAATGCTGTTTTGCTGAATCTGTCTTACACATCCAGGAAACACTGCAATGTTTAACCTTTACTATCACTTTGAATTTTACACAAAAATTTTACTACAATTGAACTGATAGCTAACATCACTACCTGTGTGTACATATGTAGGAAGGAAGAGACGTATATTTATTTCTTTATACTCTATATTCCTCTTAAAGCCAATGTGAGCTGTTACAGCCAGTCACTTGGGAACTGAGCAAAACAATTCCAGGTTAGTTAAGAGCCTCAAAAAACGCAACACATCCTTTCTTTTAGTCAACTCATCAGAGCCAAAGAATCTGGCTTGTAAAATGAAATGAGTGTAAAGGGAAAGGTATTTATTACTGGTTGCTGTGATGCCGGGAATTATCATACTTAGGTCATGTATCAGAGGTGTCCAGAGAAATAGTGTCTTCAAAAGGGTACAGCATTAGTACAGAATTATCAGCTTTCTGGGGGAAGTTAAGATGCCACTCTGTTTATTTTGGGGTTTTTTTAAGACAATGAATTTTCTCTTGAAAACGACACCACTCTACTGGTGCCAGACAGTGCAGTAGAATCAACTGCAGTCATAATCTAAACATCAAAAGTAATACACTTTGGATTCAACCAATACCACAGAATATTATCACTCTTCTTCTGAAATAAGAGCTGAGATAATTTTATTCGGCAAGAAAAAAATAACAGGATTGGAGTGATGTTTAACAGATCTAAGCAATTCTCTGGATATTTTTATGGCCCGGAACATTCACAGAATAAGTCACAGCATTGAAAACCTAAACCAAAATAATAATGTATGCAAAAAGTGGTTTCAAGAAAAATTACAATGATGCTTTTGAAGCAAAAATTTCAATGGACTGCCTGGATTCAACCTACTTTAACTTACTGGAACAGGAGAGATCCAGACAAACCACCTTCCGGGTGCATCCATTTCATTTTTGGGTACTCAAGAAACTGAAGCTAATACTCCTACAACCATTGTCAGAAACTGTTCTGGCTGGGAGACACTGCCTGGCTCGTTTCTCTTCTCTCACAGACAGACCTAAACTCTCACATCTGCTGGCCTGACATTTTTTGACTGTTTTCTACTCCAATGTAATAAATTATTCTTTTTTTGTTTTCTGGGTTTTTTTCTTACAATATTCTGTTGGTGCTGCTTTTTGTAGTTCAGGTCACTTCACAAAACAACAGTCGAGAGCAGTCTCTCTCCTTGAGCGTTAAACCCCAGAGAACTGATTAGAACCAGCTTCCAGGTAATGAGTAGCCAAGGACAGGCTGGGGAGTACCTCATCCTTCAGATTACCTGCCCTCAGACGAGCTTATCTCACCATGTCCTGAAATGCCTCCACCAGGGATGAGTCTAGGCCAGTGTTTCTATATTAGTTGATATAAATCAATTAAAGGATGATTAATTCCCTTTTCAAGAATAAGCACAAGATACATTTATAAACTCCTCAGAGGAACCAGCATGTAACGCCATGCCTGCACATGACCTGCTACCTGGAAAACACAGCATTTAGGGAGAGTAGGGCTGAAAGGATTCAGCTACCTTTGCATGTGCTCTCTGGAGTGTGGAAAGTAGAGCATAACTCTGGCACTTCCAAAGGAGAATATATCCTGCTGACTGACATACAGCCTGTCAGGCCTCCCATAAACAGAAAATGGCAGCAATTTTTAAATGGGAAAAAAGAAGTAAAAAAATAAAAAGCTATAGGCTTTTTCTTAATAGCTTCAAATAATCTGCATCTGATTTACTTAGAGAATATCAAACAAGAAATTTCTTTATTTGGTATGTCAAAGATGATTTTCAAAAGCCATAGCGAAGTTTACTGTTGAAAATACTATGCATTTATTTTGATGTCATTTGCTGTGTTAATGTAGAGCAGAACTCTTACATGAAGGAATACATTAGGTGTTTTTTATATATATTTCTTTACGTCCTCCATTATAAAGTACTGAAATACACTTTTGACCTGATCCAGGTCATATTGACTAATGTCAATATGAGTTTTTCCACAGAGTTCAATGGGCTCTAGATGAAGATTTTAACGCTCATGTGTTAATAATATGAGACAGCTCCTTCACTTGTTATTTCCTCTAGAGATCAAATTCAGATACTGGAATTCTGAACTTCCTCTAGAGTTGAAGAGTCAGTCCTGGAGGGTATAGTTGTTACTGATATGTGATCCATTTATATTTTAGTAATGGGAAGGAAGTGAAGTAAACTGTGTGAAGTTCTTCAGAGTGTCAGTTTATCTGGATTCTCAGAAAACTGTGCTTTTCAAACATTTCAAACTCATTTGAAACTTAGCGGTGTTGCATAAAACATGCATCAGAACAAAACACCCTGAGAAGCAAAAAGGAGAAAGGAGAAAGGACAGGGAGAATGAACTGGGGAAAGAAAAAGTGAAAGAAAGGAGAACATGAATGAAAGAAAAAATAAAAAAAAAATAAAGGAGAAAAAACCCTTATTGAAGTTAACTTGAAAAACATTTCCAGTGAAAGAACTAGCTTGTGCCATTTACAGCGTTGGCAAACAGGATCTCTTTTTAAAGCAGCTTGAAGATCTACCATGAAAATCTTGATACCACAGGTTTTATGAACCTTTCTGTGCCGTTTTTCAAGTCTAAGTTAACTCCAGCAGGAGCTGAGAGTGCTCACCACCTCCCAGAATCAGGTCCTGATTGCCTATTATTTATTAACATGCACTCCCTCTTCTCCACCCTCTGACTAGCACAACGCAGCTCTATAGAGCAAGCATATGTATGTATGGAAAACAAAGGAAGTGGAGGGAAATGAACTGTATTAGAGATGATGGTAGCATTAACAGCTGTTTCTAAATCAGCACTTAGGAACCAGTCTATTGAGCACATCTGCTTACTGGCACGAAAGCACGGTTTCTTTTCCCTTAGTCAACAAGTTGTTTAGCATCTGCATCTCCACATCTGATGATTAGACTGTTACTTAAGATACGAGTAAATGATTTCACATTGCACATCTTCTGATGTAGAAGATAAATGGCTTTGCTGTGACCGATTTATTTTAAGGTCTACTCTGTAGGAATCACGAGAAGAGAGCCGAAACAAGGAGGTTGACATTGTTAGTGTTTACATTGATAAAGGAATCATTATATAATTATGATCTATAGGTCCTTAGTAGGCCACAAGAAGTGCTTTCCTGCATCTCCATCTTTAATACAACTTCATGATGTGGGCATTAACACATCATTTCAGCTCCAAATAAATATATCTTCAGCAGAGCATTTCAGTCACGCTAACTTTAAGAATAATTGACTTCTACCATTGTCCTAGTTTGAGAGCACCAGGATGAAAGTTCTCTGGGGCTCCTGGAACACATGGCAATCACAGGGAGGCAGGTGGCAAATGTGCCTATGGGGAGGAGAAGATGGGTCTGGTGACTCAAATGGACCTATCACACTATTCCTTCACATTGTGCTTGCTATGTAAGGGCCCCTAAGGAAAGTTCATAAACCTGTCAAAGTTTAAGGCTGGGCCAGCCACTAAACTTTGACAGACACTTTTTGTGATTCCCTCCACCACCCTTGCAGGGGAGAATAACGGGGAAACCAGGGAGAGAGACTTTGAAGTTTGAATAAAACCTGAACCAGTATAATAAAAAAGAAAAACACTAAAGGTGTT